ATATCTATGTCTTGCTTATCTAACCGCCTCTCCCTTCAGACAGACTTTTTCCTCATCACGGTAAAATGTTGTCTTTGTTGGTGTTGTTGCTGTTGCTGTTGCTGTTGCTGTTGTTGTTGTTGTTGTTGATGTTGTTGTATGTAGTTGCTGTTGTTGTTGTTGTTGTTGTTGTTGTTGTTGTTGTTGTTGTTGTTGTTGTTGTTGTTGACCTTCAACACACTGACACACAGGGTAGGTAATCGTCGAAAACAGAACCCCCGAACAGAGTTTAGATCCAGCATTGAGAATTATCTCCCTGTAATGCTAGTGCCAGCGATAGCTCAAATCTTGCCGAATTTTCCTAAGTACAATTTGATGGCTGTGTGATAAAATTATAGATTATTTAGAATATACTAGTAAACGTTCCCGTTTTACGAACGGAATAATAAAGAAGAAGTGTTAGGAAAGTTAAGAAGAGGAAAAAGACTGAAAACAGGAAAGAAGAAAAGCATAAATATTTTACCTTGAATTTATCCCTATAGCACCCCCTCTTGACTACCTCTGGAGGTAAGACTTCTTCACCCTCTTCGAAGGAGTGGCATTTTCTTCTAAAGTTCCAGCTCAATCACTTTTAAAAAAAAGAGTTAGGCCTGCATGCCAATTATTGCTTCCTAGAAAAACTTAATCTAAATTCTAGATCTAGCCTAGATCTCGAAGGATTATAAAGACCTAGGCCTATAATTGAAAGAAGGAGCCTAGGTCCATATAGAGAAGAGATTTAAGTTTAGAAATTCACATTTTTAACAAACGACAGGCGTCACAGATGGCCTAGATTTCTAGATCTATTCCCGCCAGGAAAAATCCACTTTCAAGAACACTTTCATGATTCTTGACTTCGATCTAGACTCACCGACAGTCGACAGTCTAGTTCTAGACTCTAGATCTATTCACAGCAGGAAAAAATCCACGTTCAATACTTTCATCATTCTTGATCTCGATCTAAGATTCACATATAGATCTAGCCTAGATCTAGATCTAGATCTTAGAATCTATAATGCACAGGAAGAAAAATTCACTTGCAATATTCAATTGGTTATCGAAATATCACAGATCTAGATTCTACTTTCATTTCATGATTCTTCTTCATTTCGATTTAGATCTCATCTAGACACTGTGCACAAAATACACTTAGATCTATCCTTCGGCGTGCGCGCTAAATCCACTGCAGGAGAAATCTACTGTCAATACTTTCATGATCTTTTATTTTTATCTTGATCTAAATTAGATATTAGATCTAGACATAGATCTAGATCTACACACGAACACACTGAACACAAAATATCCTTCGGCGCAGTTCGGCGTGCGCGCTAAATCCACTGCAGGAGAAATCTACTTTCAATACTTTCATGACTTTTTATCTTGATCTAAATTTCTAGATATTAGATCTAGACATACACACACATACGACTACACGCAGAGCGTAAACCGGGCTACAATGGGCTGAACCTTTGACTGTGTCGCGTGAATACATTAAGTAGTCTTACGGTAGGCTACTCTTGGCGCTCTCGACGACACCCTCCCTAGGTCACTCTCACCACCCTCCCTCTGTAGTGCTTTCCGGCCTCCTCTATCTTTTCCTTTTCTCTCTCCCTCTCTCTTTCTCTCTCTCTCCTTCTCTCCTTCTCTCTCTCCCTCTCTCTCTCTCTCTCTCTCTCTCT